GCTCAGACACCTCTTTGTGTGTGTGTGTGTGTGTGTGTGCGTGTGTGTGTGTGTGTGTGAACACAGTGGTGTGTGTGAGAGCTGATACCAAGCTCTTGAGATATAAATAGGACTTCCCTGCAACAAGGCTCCCACCAGCCGCACTGATAGTTCTCTGTGCGTTGTGAAAGCCTCAGTCAATGTGTGTCTTTGTAGATTTATATTTCTTGGTTTTGCACAGAAATGAATGCCATCGCTCTTATTTTTTTTAAATCTTAACGTTGTGGCGGTTATGTTTGTGTTGGTCTTGGCAGTGTGTGTATTTCAAAAGACGGTGCTGGTTTTAAGGAATTAGCATCTTGGCTCTGCTCCCAATAGGCCAAAGCCAGGACACCGTTTACCAGCCACCGCAGAAATACTGCCGTGAACGGCATCACACGCTCATCCCCCAACGTGTCCAGAGGTTGATCCAAGGTTGTGTTAAAAATCAACTCGGTGAGCCGACACGAGTCATGAGGTTACTCGCGCTGATGAGATCAATTCACGTGTCTTGTTTCATGCATCCTGTTTCCTTCCTGCTCGCTTAAAAATCAGCTTTAGGCAGTCAGTTAAATTATTATTTTTAACCACTTCTGGTGTCAGGAGCAGCAAAGTGTTGAGGCACGGTAAGAACTGTGGGACACATTTTTGTTATATTGTGTCCTGACCTTGTATAGGGCTGATTTTTACCCAATCTAGGTCTTAACATTGCCTCTTCAATCTATTTGAGAAGCTGGAAGCAGCGAGTGTTTGGATTTTTTGCTTGGAAAAAGTAGTTGCTGATCAATCATCTGTTGATTGACCAATCGATTAATCGACGATTTGGGAGAAGTCGTGTCAGAGGTGCAGATAAGGAGACGGCACTAGTCTTTCTGAATGTCAGCTGTCACAAGCCGCTGTCCTGGCAGGCTATTTATTTCTATCACTTGCTCGACTCGCTCTTCTCTCTAACAATAGCAGATGACTACTTAAGTGTTGTAGATGTCACTGTCTCATTGCTATAACAGCAGTTTCAGCTGCAGCCTCTGTACTTATAGTCACAGGTGGGACACACACACCTGTGGCATTTGTTTGGTTTCACTTTTTTATTTTTTATTCTAGCACACAAACCTGCGATCGATGTCGACATTAGTTGCTCAGGACGCTGCAGCAAAAGTGTGTGCGTGTGTGTGTGCGTGCGAAGAATGTAGTCATTGAGGAAGAGGATGGGGAAGAGGTGAGGAAGACAAAGAAACAAGGGAATTCAAGAACTTTGACTCTATTGTGCAGGAATGTTTTCAATTTGCAACTTAGTTTTGTTTGAATTGGCCTATTTTGGTCTGTCATCCCCTGCTGAACGCTGTCTAGCAAAACAATAATACGATAACAAAGCGCCATGTTGAGGTTAGAGGTCCTGGGTAAGAACAAAGAAAGGAGACTCACAACTGTAGTAGTCTTTTTGTTTTCCCTCACAACGTGAACGTCATGGTATACGTAGAGGAAGCACGACTCTGGAGATCCTCATAGCGGAGGACAGAGGGGATGAAAAGAAAGGGAAAAGCATGGGAACGGAGACGGCCGAGAGGAAATGTGTGTGTGCGTGATCTGTAGTCAGTCAGTCAGTCAGTCAGTGCTGAGTCATCGCTGGGCTGGCCGGGCAGATAGAAACCGGCTTCTGGGGGGGGGGCCAGCTGGAGGGGCACGACGGGGCACGCACTGAGCATGCTCTGAAAAGTACAGGAAGGGAATTGGTTGTTGTGACAGGACGCATCCAGGAACTGTAGTGACGCAATATTTCACGGTGCCAGGTTTTCACTGACGCACGTGTCCCCCTGGTATGTTTGATGATACCAATGAAAATAAAATGTAGCGGGCTCGTTGCGTGACACGATCTCACGATTTCGCGGCTCTCCTTCTCTGAATGTCGTCATTTAGGACGCTGAGAGGAAGAGAGAGATGGCAGCCGAGAGATAACGAGACATGTTGCTCCATGTTTGGCCAGACCACATCGAGCACCCCCCCCCCTTCTATTTCTTGTGGTTTTCTGTGATCTGTTAGACCACAGTCTTTGACTGTGCCACACACACACACTTGTAGGCACGCACACACTCATACTTCCTGTATTTAGAAAAGATCCTTCTGTGCTGCACTGGAGGACGATGGTATGTATGTATGCCACATGTTGTACTTTGAGAATCATAGACTCTTGTTAACTCTACTGCTGCTGTTACTTAACTGTTGCTCTTTTAGGGGAAGCATGGGTAAAAACATCTGTGTAGAAATGGCCTACACTTCTCATATAATGCACGGTGGGATATTTTAAAAAGATCCTCGGCTTCGTTAGACATCAAGTGTTTCACGGTGAGATATTCTACAACCAGCTTTTTGTTGAAATAGTCCACCATTACCACGTTACGCAACATATCGAACTGCAAAATCCCATTATGCTGTAGGTTCAAATCGGACAGAATTATTTCGTAAAAACACCTGTTGATAAAACTTCATTTAAGAATGTACAAAGATCGTTGTGTTTTGCTACATGACAGCCGTGTGAACGTCTCGCAACTCTGTGGCTGATTATATAATGTTGTATCATCCAGGGGCTGTCTGCATTAACCAAGAAGCTCTGCTGTTGCATCAGCTAAGGCCTGTTGTGGTTCTTTGAAAATCATCGGTGACTATGGGTTGAGCGTACTCGGGGGGTCAGCAAGGAAAACGCATGATAAAGGGCAGCGGTAGGGCTCTCATCCGTCTCATTGAATGCTTAGGAATGCATCCTGTTTCCTCTTTTCTGTGGGACTATGTGGTTAACTCCAAAACCACTGCTTCATTTCTCTGTAATTAAAAAAAAAAGTTAGTGAACTATGGTGGCTAGTCGAGGGCCTGTGCACTGCAGAAGAACTGTTGAACGTTGTTTTTTCTGATGATGGCAAAGTGGTGCTTTGACACTAAAATGAGGATGTTTTTATGTGACCATTGAGGGAATAATGTCCATATTATATTGAGCAAAACCTACAGGTATTTAGAAAGAAAGGAAAGCCTACTGAGATGAAACTAATCAGCATTCAGTGTGTCCGTATGCAGCAACAGAAGCAGAGAAGTGAAACAAAGCTCAGAACAGAGAATAAGAAGTGACAGAGGCCAAGCGGTCCAAGGCCGCCCAAGCACCACCACCTTAATGTATGCAAAGACCAAACAAAATAGAAAAATAGATGCTGATTATATAATCGCAGCGTCCATGCTTTGATTCCTGGAGGCCAGGATCTTTGTTGCATGTCATCCCTCCGCTCTCTCTCCCTTCATTTCCTGTCATATATATTTTTACAGTCTGCTCTCAAAGAAATGTCAGAAGTGGCCACAAAAAGATGTAGCAGTCAGAAAAAATGTATGACATTTTGGCAGTCGGCACGCAGTTAGACCGAACTGCCAGTTGGACGGAGAAGATGATCATTAAAAAAACATTTGTAAGCAGTTATGTCCTTCATGAGCAGCAGAGTTTGTTTTTTTTAGGGGTAAACAAGCGTGTTGTATCATCACCTGCTGCTTATGGAGTGAGAGCATGATCTGACCATAACTACGTCTAATACACAGAGCTCACTGTGGTACCAGCTTCATGTTCAAGTGATCACAGTCCATGTTATAACCCTGACATAGCTTCAGGGCTTCACAAAAACAAAAAAAGCAGAAGGAACACTGAAACAGGTCACAAACACACGGATGGCCAAGCAGGCAGTGTGGTTGATTGAGAAATTCTTGAACCATACTTCCTCAAGACGGGGCTTCATTCAGTGTCTGTCCAAAGGACCTATTGCTGTTTTCATTCATTTCAAATACTTCAGTCTCCGTCCTCCATATATCGGTGCAAATTGGAAGTGATTTGTCATTTTTATTATCTCTCCTCATTTTCTTATTTCTCTTACAGACAGCTGTCCTTTAATATTATGCACTTGCAGTGTTTTTGCTCTTTATTCAATTGACTGTTTCTCCGCAAATTGGAACAGTTACCAGTTGTCCTTTGAGTGAACTGCGGCCGCCCTTATCTATTCAGATATTTTCTGACTGGTTGATTGCCAGAGATTCTTTGCAGGCCCACGTAATCCAATTTTGGCTGTTTGAGATTGAGCACAGATACAAATCTGACTTTTGGCTGTCCTTACTGTGTTTGAACTGTTTCAAACTTTCTAGTAGTTCAAAGAAATGCTCCGACTGTTTAGCCAGTGCTCCAGTTCTTGCACAACACTCCGCATTATCTTGATTTGCCTCTAATTGCATTTCCATATCTCTCCTCTGTTTGTCCCTCAATCATCTTTTTTTCTGCTTCTTTGCTCTCCACCGTCCATCTCTCCACTCTTGTCTCCAAATCAACCCCTTGACCCCCGCCTCCTCTCCCACCATCCATTTCCTCTTCTTTTTCTATCTCTCTTCAACCTTCTTTGTCTCGCAGCAGTGATTCTCAGCCGCTCTGGTTACTGCAATGAATGGTAACACTATCCATCCAGCCAACACCACCACCACCACAACAGCAGCAGGGGGAGGGGGCCCAGGCGTGGCGGCGCCCCCGAGAGGCTGGAGGGAATTCTGCGAACTGCACGCCATCGCCACAGCCCGGCAGCTGGCCGGACACTACCGGAGCTTCGCCAGAGAGCGGCCGCAACATGACGCGCTCCCACCGGAGACCTTCTCCAAGCAGTTCATTGACCTCTTCCAGCAGCACTTTTGCTGCGAGGTCGACAAAGATGGCCCTCTGCTCGGCCAGACCACATGCTCCAGTTCTTCCGGTAGCGCTCCAGTGGCCCCTCCTCTCCAATCACAGGCCGTGATCGGTCGATTGCGGATCCCGTCTTCGTCCGGGGTGCAGGACTACCGTGAGGCGGGCCGGCCGAGTGGAGGTGCTGCTCTGTTCGCTGTGGTGTCACCAAAAGTGGAGCCGGCGGCGGTGAGTCAGGAACGGGAGCAGCCGCTGCGGTGCGCCGCGGGTAACTCCTTATCAGGACACCCGGTGGTGCTCAGAGGGTCAAATCGTAGCATAGGCAGCGGGTCGCTGCTGATTCGCAGCCGGAGCAACGAGGAGATCTCAGGCACCGACCGGCGTCAGGTGTCCGAACGGTACTCCTCGGACTCCTCGGCCTCTAACCCCGCACACGCTGACGTCACACACTTCTCCGTCAGTCAAATCCGGCAGACCGTAAGACGGCTTCTCAAGAAACGGCCCAGCACCCCCTCATCCCAGGACCTGCCTCCTAGCACCACCACCACCACTACCAATCCCCCAAACAATGATGACAGAGTGGGCGGGATTTCCTCCACAAACGAGGAAGTGTCTTCCTCTTCCTCCCGCTCCTCGTCTTGTCCGAACTCTGAAGCCTTGCCCACGGCCTCTTCACACATGTCTGTGGCTGGAGTAGCCTCTCACTTCCTGGGTCGCTTAAGTTGGTTACGCAGCGGAAGCATGAGGCAGAAGAGGTCAGCGGAGAGCGGCTGCTGTAAAGAGGGCCAACTGAGGTACTTGCTGGTGGAAGACGCCATCTCAGACACTCAGCCCCGCTGGCAACGCTGCCGCCTGCTGGTCAGGAGGATCAGGGACGCTCAAGTAGCAGGAAGAGGAAGAGGAGGAGCAGAGAGGTACCAGTTGGAGCTCTATGATCCCCCAAAGGTAGACACTTTGGCTCCTGCTTACATTTATACACACATATATCTTATTCAAACCAAGCAATTATTAGAAACATGTACACACTGCGGGTGTAATTGAGGTGACGCCCTATATGTCCATCATATATGTTTGATTTACCACCACACTTGAAATACACACTACCATGTGATAACTCATAAATGGTGTCTAAAAAGGCTGCACATTGGTCTCCCAGGGAGGAGAGAGGCAGTAAGCGCTGGCTCACTTCAGTGATGTCTGAAATGCATGTTGCACACATATAAATGTCTGAGTGTTGCTGTCGCTCTTCAAGTTTGTTTCGGTAGTTACATGTGTAGCATTAGCAGTTGGCTGCACATGCTATCATACTCTCATTCTTAGTTTGGTTGATAAGAAGTGTTTTATAACATCAAATGGTAAATGCTTCACTGGGTACATTTTCTGTGAGACTCTGCTTCATGCTAAACACCTTCAGGGACTAAATGGGCAGGAGTTTGTGATGGCAGGCACATTTGTGATTTGTAAACAACTGACACTTATATGATGTATTTGATATAATGTACATGACATAATATCAAACACTTTGACATCACATATTCAAAAAAAATAGTTAAAGATTATGGGAAATATACTTTTAGCGTTCTTTCCAAACGTGAGTCGGCGTAGAAGTATCACGACCATGCTCGGACAATTCTTCCAAGAAATAGGGCCTCCACATAAATCTACATTAGTCATGTTTTAGCTCCGACCCCATAGTTAATGCACAGACGTTAGAGTGGGATCCTATTAAAAATAATAATACAATAGTGGTATCTTCTCATGTAACTGTATAATAAGCAAAGCAAAAGTAATTTTGCACTGCAGCAACATTTGTTTTTTCTCGTCCGACTGTGGCTGCTGTATTTTTAAAAAGTTTTTCAGTATTGACATTAAGGAGAGTGTCAAAGCAAGTACCTATGAGCCTCATTATCACGTTTTTGATTAATACATTTGCGAATTAGTAAGATTTCCAACAATAATGTTTTTGTATCTTGTTATTACTTATTTGTTTGTTGTAGTTGGAGCATGCAGGTGTGTGTAACTGCAGGTGTACGTAGGTGACAATTCCTCGGTTCCTGTTCTTGGTAGAGCAGGTGTCTGCTTCAACAGGACTGAGTTTCACAAGAATGTGTGTTTGCAGTTCTTGCAAATGTTTCTAGAGCTTCTTCTCAGAAATCTACACGTCACTGAACCATTTAACAGCTGGCAGGTTCCTCAGCGTGTGTTTCATATCTGTGGAAGAAGACGGATACTTCTGTAGATCTGTTTGTGTTTCATCAATAAGATGGAAACCCACAGAAGCCTTTTTAAAGGGCCGGTTAATGTCAGGCTGCATCACAAATGCATGTGCGTACTCTAAAACAACTCGCACACAGAGGCACAAAGTCATTTCCTGTTTCTAGCTGTGTTAGTCACAGGGGGTTCCCCTCCCCCCCACCCTTTCAAATAATCTCTTTTCTTTGTTTGTTTTACAAAAACGATTTTTTTTTGCCACATCTAAGAAGCTCTTATTGCTGTACAGTTTGCCACATGACAAAACAAGACCAAAGATGTGATGACATTTAGCTTTGTCTCACAAAACTCTGTGTTTTATTGGTGGTTTTCATCACATCTTTGCCTCCAGTGATTGGTTTGTGTTTCGGCTGCAGAGTGTGCTGTGATGTTGAGCGGGCTTTGGGTGAAGAAGCCAAAGAGCATCACGTATGTTCTGGCCTTGCATGCAGAGTAGAGGGGTCACTGTTAGAACACCATTGTTTGTTTCACACTGATGACCTTTTAAGATGGGATCACGGATAGTTTACCCTTTTTAACCTAGTTAAAGAAGCTCGAGGAAGTGGAGTTGCGGTTCGTATGAGTGAAGATGGATTTGGTCTGTCTGTGCCTCACTGATTACTGTCACGCATTTTTTTTGTAATACAGTCATTTTCATTCCTTGATGTAGCACAGCGTTTGCCCTGTGTGGCATTTTTGTGCTCAATTACCTCAAAGAATCTGCAAAATGCATGTCTCCTTTTACTCTTTGGTGAGTAGATGTGCCTCCTACACTATTTCCTGTTTGTCTGGGGTTTGCTTCAGCCAGTCACAACATTTATTCGTATTACTTCAGGATTAGTACATCAACTCCACAATCAGAAAATATGAAATTGTCACATTTGGAATATATTTGCATTTTTAAGTTTCGGATCAAGAAAGATCAGCTTGCCCTCCCCTATCCCTGCTTGATGGCTCATCACAACACAGCAGAATGTGTTTTTTTTAAATATTTTTTATTGCATGTGCTTTGCTCTACACATGAGACCTCATGGCATACAACCCTGTAATAATTCCAGATGGGGCCAGCTGCAAGGCTGCATGTCCTTGCACACCCAGTCCCTCAAGAGCCCCAAACCAGTAATCAGATTGATTGAGTTGACTGCTGTCCTAGTCGCTGCCACCTACAGTATAGGGCCGCAGAGTTCAGTCTCCTCAGGGTGTGTGTGCGCAAGTGTGTGTGTTCTGGCACGAGCAGAGGTACATGAAAAAGACGTTGCATGTCTCTGTGTGTGTGTGTCTGTGTGCTTGTAGTGTTTTTATATTTAGCAGCCCTCAAGTCTTCAGCCAGCTGCAGCCCTAACCATGTGCGTGAGGTAATTCAGTTAATGATAGAGCCAGAGTTGTGTGTGTGTGTGTGTGTGTGTGTGTGTGTGTGTACGCATGCATATTTGAGCAGAATGGGAAGGCATTGGCAAGATTTCTTTGGCTGATTGCAATGCTGCTTTAGTTAACCAACTACATTGCTGCTCTGACTGAGTGCGCCCCCTCACTGTGTGTGTGTGTGTGTGTGTGTGTGTGTGTGTGTGTGTGTGTGTGT